ACTTAATCTATTCACAAACGTAAAATAACCAACATTCAATAACACAATTCAACAAAGAAGATTCAATCTGCTTTGTATCAAAGTAGAATACAGTAATATGTGTATAACAATAAAGATTTTCATTTCATTTCATTTCAGTAAGATAAAACATTTATAATACAGAACCCTTGCATAATAAAGCGCTCAGAATTAAAATCTATTAGCTAACGGGTCACGGTGGCGCGGCAATGGGCATTTCCTCTTGCCGGCCGCCGACCGCCGCGCCGCACCGGCCCGCGCGGGCAAAGACTCGGGATGTGCTCGCTGCCCGCTGCCCGCGCGGTTGTGCAAGGCCGCTACTACACCGCTGCCTTCGCGTAACCTAACGTGCGTTTTTTTTATTAATCAAACCGGTTGTTAGCTATGTTACGATCACCTTAACTTATATGGACAGGACTTATAGTCACTCATAGGCGACAAAAAGCGGCTGTTTTAATGTCAGATTAGCGCCAACCTTCAATACTCGCAATAAACAATAGTTACTTTCATTGCAGATCTTTTGCTTTAAACATCAGAGCAAGAATAATTCAAAACGAATGTCTTCTGAACCTTTAAATTGTTTCTAAGAACTTATTTTTGTGCATCCAGCAAAGTATCACATGAAATTGTGCCAAGTTTATTGATTCATGTGTCCAAACAAGTTGTAGTACTCGTATATAGTTAGTCCGGTGCGGCGTGAGTAGAGTCGTGTTTTTTGCGTGTTTACGCGCGGCCACGCTACGAGCCGGTCTGCGGCCGTGGGAACCCAGCGCGGGACCAAATATAACCGCACCGTGTCTTCGTATCACTTGAAGCGCTGACTTGTAATCGATCTCGTAATCTTGTTATTAATAGATCCGTCATTTGGTAATTAATAGGATGATTTTATGTGTTAATTAAGTCAATGCCCTAGTCAACATATTCATTGGTGGGATTTACAAAATTGTGTACGTGTTAATCACGGGAATTTGTGTCGTAGTCAAATCTAATTTGGAATATATTACCTGCCTCCTCAAGGTCCTTAAGGACTCATCTCTTGCTTCATAAAAACAATAACAAATTCTATGACTTCAATATCTGAGTCATTTACATACGTAGTGTATTGATAGAGTTATGTTCCATCACGCAAGTTGAACTGTGTGAGTCATGTTGTCGGAAAAATATCGCGACAGAGCCGCGGCTAATTGATGCTGGTAACACGTAACAGCAAAGTATTCAACGTGATTATGCTAAATACGCGAACTGACAGCTGTAGCTATATTATTACTATTTTATGCAACTGTAGGCACTAGTAGCAGAACCCTGCTTAAATAGGATAAATGATTCAGACAGAATTCAAAGGTGTCATATTCTATACAAGATTTTTTAAAATCAAACTTGCAATAACGTATGGGAAAATTAATTACAACTCTTCTGTTTACTAACAATTGTACATTTTAAGTATTACAAATGAATCTTAATATTATCTGCTAATGTTAGCCCTTTTACTAGTTACATTCTACTATTAGTGTTTTTCTTTTGTCTAGATATGATGGTATCGATTTTATCAACAGTTAACACCTAATTGACATCAAATGTATAGCAGCTGGAGCGGCGCCGGCGGCTACGTAGTTTGCCATCTTGTTGATAATATCTCGCGGACATTTATGGCGCCACAGGGTTGGCAGCTAATCGCATAATGGACAATAGAATAGGTGTATTCTTTAGGTTTTTTGAAAACTAAAATTTTATTTTTAATTCTGTGTCGTTATAAAAACATAAATGCAACGAAAATTTGAGGAAACTATGCTGAATACAATGTTATTAGTGATGTTTTCAGTGTTACCATTCGAAACGATTCTTTTAGGCAATCGGGGTTGTCGAAAGATAAAACAACATTGGCTACAAATTACAAATTTTTCTTCAGTATGCAAATCTGTGGTCAGCCCTGGTGCGGCACATGTGGCGCGTAGCGTTTGACTCACCGATCTAGCACAATACGTACTGTGGAACCAGAACAAAGGACTATTCTCCTTGAAATCTCGACTAAAACTTGCAATATGTGCCCCGTGCAACACATCACTTACACGTGGACCGTAAAGTTCGCCAACATGATATACATTCTTGAAGAATAATTTAATCGAGAGTCTAGTCATTTTAATTTTTTTAGTTCCCGATGAAAAACAGGGAAAACAATGTGATTTAAACGGGGATTTCGGTCTCAATAACCCACGATTAAACGTACACTTAACATCTACGTTTGTTAAGGTTGAAGGCAAAATGCATTGGAGTTTATTACATTTACATATTACTTCACGGTGTTACATTTTATAGCTATTTTACGCTACGTCCAGGAAAATTATAGGAGGTAATTTAATTATCTTAATTGGTGGTAATTAGGCGGTAAATCAAAATCGCGTCTCCCATTTCAAACGCATCAGAGCTTTGGTAGACATTTTTACATTTACGTGTCGTGTATCGGAACGTTTCGTCACTTAATTTTCAAGTTCATGTTACAAGGCGGATGGCAATATGGCGTCGTTTCCGGCCCAGCTTCAGGTTCGCGGTACGCTTTAATGCGATAGTTTCAGGGTTCCGGATTGATTTTAGGGTGTACACAGTTTTACCTTAAAGGAGTTCCTTTTGATATCATTATTGAATGGTTACTCCTTAACGTACTTTTTAAAGTTTCTATTTTTACCAAGACCTAAAATTTGTTGACTTAAGTTTTCGACGCACATAAATTTTTCAGGCAGTAAGCAAACAAAGCGCCCGAGGCAGAGATAGACGCGTGCGGAGGAAACAAAATGGCGGTGGAGTGATTAAGATGTCACGCCCGATGCGCACGCCATTGTTTTTTTGTTGAAAGGCCGGCGTGCGGCATTGCCTTGTCTTGTCCGACGTACTACTTTACTACAGATATTTATACTCTAATGACTTGACCATCTTAGGCATGCTGAAGCGAAATAAAACTTTGCAAACTTTTAATTAGATCATCAGATTTTTTAAAATATATTTTTTTGACTTCATGTTTTAGGAAGTGAAATAGCTTAAACTAACTGTAATAAGAACCAATAAGGAAATTATCATGACTTAACTACAGTGTTTATGCAAATAACAATGTTACAGTATCTCGCTAGCTCTGGATACGTCCACTTTCTAATTCATTCCACTTTCATCGATAAATCCTTTGAGAACCTTTCCTTAACTGCAACACTGCGAAAGGTACTTGCTTCAAGACTTTTGTGAAATAATTATGAAAATGTAACCTAAGGATATGCCTATAAACATAATGGTAAGGTATAATCGTTTCATTATCATTATCAGCGTTTGTCTGCCCACTGCTGGACATAAGTCTTTCCCAATGCCTTCCAAAGTATCGACTCCGCTTTTCGCATCTAATCGTCGCATGTTATTGTGTTTAAATATGTATATTTTGTTTTTTGTACGAAGTAGTATTTTATTCGTGTGATCGTCGAAGCGAGTCCCGCGGGATGTGCGGCCGGTGACGTCACGGGCGCGGCAACGTAATGTTGTGCTTTGTCTGCGCCCGAGCACCGTATCCCGGAACTAGATCATATCGATGCTTTGCTATAGATTTTATCAACGAGTAAACAATACCAACGATTTAAATTTAATAGGAATTTAGGCATACTTTTGTACATTTAAGTTGATTGATCAGCTTAAAGTTAAGCTTTAGGTTCGGTTACAAAAAATAACAAAAAATAAAATGTTCCATACAGTTGAAATAATAGCGTGTTCTAATTTCATTTATTTGATTGGCCGTCAATGGTATAGCTACAATAAAGTTTTAATTGCAATCTGTAATCGATGTAACGTGAGGGCGCCACGTGCGCTCAGTCACGAGACTGAAGGGAAAGGTGTGTCCACACATGAAACATTTCATCTAAAAATTACAAAAAAAACGTTAAATATCTTGCCATTCCTTAGAATACAATAATTAAGCTCAACTGTGCTACTCGTTGCTTTTAATTTAAACGTCAAAAGGTCTTTAAGAGACTATTCCATTTAAAGGCTAATCATGCGACTTTGTCCGCGCATGTCAGCCGTCTCGTCAGTGCAATAGGACAATCGACATCATGAAAATGGCAAATCATGATAACTGATAAATGGAAATAAGATCTAATCTATCTTTAATTTTTATCCCAACAGAAGCTCATGTGACGAGTCTCTTATTTGAAACGATTACGATTGAATTGTGCTCACACAAGGGGCTTGTTTCAGCGCAACACGTGTTTGCATTTGCGTAATTTCTATAACATGCGGCACGTTTTATACAAGTGTATCTGTAATTATATATATGTATTAAGATAACATTATTACCGGCTTATTTAATTACACTGTACATACCAGTGGATATATGACTTGGTACGGAGATTAAATGTATGGAAATTACTGGCTTAAAAAAAAATTCAGCTTGGACATTAATTTTTTGCAGTAATGTGCGAAGGTCGAAAAACAATGTTTAAAATATTCTCGAACGTTACGCGCTGGATCATTTTTTTTATTTTTTTCTTTAATAACATAATTAAGATTATCTTAAGGGAGGCAAAAAGTACAAAAATGTATTAATTATGTTCCTTTATAAATATTTGAACATATCTTCTGTTTAGAAAAAATAGTTTGCCGCCATGATCAAAGTAATATAATAATTTGCTAGCTTGCGTAGTAGCTAAAAATGCGTTTTTTTATTTTGAATAATTTTTATTACTTTATGCTAAGTTATTATGTCTTTCGAGTTTTAAAGACATCACCAGATGATAGGATATTAGGATATGTGATTTTTTATACAACTAAGAAATGACAAAGAGGCATTATTATATGCCTGGAGCGTTTATTATGCGGCAAATATATTAAACTACTAGGTATTATTTGTTTTTAATAAAGATTAATTAATACAAAAGCGATTCCGGCGTTTCGGCTGCGCAAGCGCAGGCTACACCGCAGCGCGGGAGCGGCTATGCGTCATTCCGCGACGATACTCCGCACGCGACGGCTGTGTCGCGTCGCTGCAGATCCGCGCTTCGATCGATCTTTACCTCGTGTTCTGTGCTTTTCGTATAATTTGGATTTGTGTGCGATGTGCTATGGAGTTTGTTTTCAGTGACCGCCCCCTGAAAAGGGCTTGAAATTGTGCTTGTTTTAACTGAAGTGCAGCAAAAGGTAAGTCGACGAAGCTGTTTGTATCGCTTACAGAATTAGATTATAATCTCCTCTAGTTTATAGCCTATTGTAAGCGATTTCATGGTGCTTGGGATAATTTAATTGAGGGCCCACACGCAAATTTATTCGGCTGCTGTTTTTAAATATAAAAGCGCTATAAAATTCGGTAAATATTTTTCAGCGTATTCGTAGTATTTCTTGTTCAATAGCCTTCGGTTCTTCCTCAACTTCTTTGTTGGTTTTATACAAAAACTGTGCAGCGCAGCAAAAACTTTTATTTAAACGTAATACTCGAAAATAATATAAGAACCTGGAATAGGTCTGTTCAACTATAAATATTGGTCTCTTTGCTTGTTTTGCATATAAACGTTGAATTATGAAATTGTGGTAAGACAAAACAAAAGTCTCAGTGAATCAACTATACCTACTTTGTGGTGCTCATAAAGTGCGGTAAAGAACTGGAGACGTACCTAAATGATTCATTCTCTGCACTACTTTCTTAGGTAGGTATTTATTTACCTATGTCTTTGATTCATCATGCTTGAATACCTAACTTTCTGGTTTACAAGTAAAGGTAAATTTTAAAAAATGTAAAATCATGACAATATTTTTTTTTATAATAAGGGTGCGAATCAGTAGCTGATTGATTAATATTAATTGATCCGACGCCCATGGAGGCCCTAACACCTGAGGAACTGCAAATACGTTATCGCTAATTACACCAAAAATAAAGCGATTTTTTTTTATTTTCCTATTAAAGTACAACTTACTGCGAGTTTCTGAGACCCCCCGTTTAAAACATATTGTTATCCCTGTTTTGTCAAAGATATCAGGGATGATGATATATTTATACAGAGATTTTGGTCTCAGAAACCCACGGTAACACATTTAACGTGTGCAGAATAGCATGCGTATGTTTTCTTGTACACTCGATTAACTTCTCGCAACGCCAATGTATATTACAGGTATTCTGCGGCAAATCTCAGTTGATTGAGTAATTATTGTCATTACAGTGTATTGATGCGCTTATTTGTTCTTTGTTATCTCTAATTGGTACTAAACTTTAATCATAGACTTAATTATTGGCTCACTAAGGTTTAATTACGTTAATTTTCATCTTCATACTTCAATATCATTCACATATAGAAAACTTTGTATCTATTGCTTTAAGAAAATGCAATATAAGAGAAAAAAATTTGTTGAACTCACAAGTAGAAGTTATCAGGAGTCTGTGTAAATTGATAAAGTCTGCTTAGCTCCCTTTTAACACGTTTAAGGCGAGTTTTGTCGCGCGCGTGTTTGCTTAGGATTGCTTCCAGGAATCTTAACTTTTGACGCCTCCCGTCAGGAATGCAGTATGATGACTTTTTTATCTTTTCCTAAAACGGCTTGTCTCTTTTTTGGATTAAAGTTAAGTGTTTACTGTATTTTGGGCTGTTTGTTTAGTGTTTTTGAGTTTAAACTTCTCCATTTTATTATAGGATTAGCTTCTAAAATAGTAAGCAATATTGAATAAAACATTTGTCGGTATGTACCTATTTTGCAACTTACAAAGTTTGTAAATTTAATCCAAGCACCATGAGAAGTTCCATTCTAACCCACAATTTCATGTTAAAGTTAAATTTTACATTGTTACAAGTTGACTATTCGCGCAACTAAGTTTGCGCACAGCGGCGATCGTAAACCTTTCTTCCACTAATGCTACTAACCGCGCGACACTGCTCGCGACACTGATTCTACGACCAATGTACCATTTCCACTGCCACGTGACCGCCGTGCAAAGCAATCGCGCGTTTAGGCGTTTAGTGGAAAAGAGGTGTTGCAGATGGGTCTTGCAGAGGTTTTTGTGTGAGAACAGGTCGGGGCACAATGCCCTGGCAGCATTCGAGGCTCCCACGCCAACCGTGGGTGGCGCTTGCGACATTTCGCCCGCCATTGCACTTTGTTGTCGTTAGTGCTTTCAGCTCCAATTAGAACTTGATCACGATTCTATTTTTATTGCTTCGATTATTCGATTCGAAGTCTTTTTTCCTTTTTAATGTGTAATGGATATCAAGTATGTCCATTTAAGTTTTATGTTGGTTGCATTTTTAATCACTGAAATCTTTTTAATGCATTTTGATACAATATCTTTGAATTTGCGACATTGATTCGAGAGATTTCCAACAATACTAAGGTACTCAAAGCTCTGCGGTGTGATTCATTACTTAATCATCGCAGTTGCCTTCACCCGGCGTCTACATGTGCACATCATATCCTCATTTATCAAATACCTCATAAATGTCAGGTTTTTAAACAAAATTAACTTGTTGACAATCAGTTTTTTATTCCTATTAGACTACAGTGCCTGTCCTTATACCGTAATCGGGCTATCTAGCTTGTTTCATTTTGGTTTCTAGCATTTTTTCTTTATAACTTGATACAAGACAAGTTTGTCAATAATCAATTAAATATTTTCAATTAACACAATTCAGCCTGTATACAATTCGAGGGAAAGTTAATTAATGTAAATATTGGCATTCTTCAGGGCGCACGCGACGTGGCGTGAGCAGAGTCGCAAAAAACACCAAGCATCCATAATTGCGCGTTTGTCACGGTCGTTTGCCTGATTTACGTAGTTTGACGGAATTAACTGGAATAGAACTGTTTATAAATTGTAATATTTATTTAGTTTTCTAACACTGCGTTTTATGTTTAGTTGGTTTTTATTGTGTTACATATTGCATATTTTCTTTTCTTTTATGCCAGTTACATATGTCTTACTATGTAATAAAAATTTATGTTGATGCAGATGAACGCACCTTAATTAATTAATTACACACTATATAGTTGTACAGGATGTCTCAAAAGTCGACGTCAAGCGGGAATCTCAACATTTAACAACCGGATTATTCCCATGATTAAAAAATAACATCCAAAACTGTTTTTTCCGTTGACTCGATAAAGCAAAAGTGGTTTATCGTAATCTCTTACATTCGGTAATAAATACGGTGACGATGTATATTTTTTGCTGCATTCAAATAGTCCGGGGTTCACATCCGCGGCCGCACGGAACATTCCGGCGTCGGACGTTGCCCTTGACCAAAACTCAATCACTCGAGAGAAAGTCGCAATCGCTTTTTAAGAGCAAACTTATGTTAATTACAATTTAACGAGCAAAATAAGTCTGTAATTAAATTATATGTGATATGACTAACTTTTTTTAAATGGATTAATCGGTGCAATTGAGTTGTAATTTCGGTATTCTTCTAAATTTTAATCGCATTCTTAAATATTCGTCGCTTAGATTCACTAAAAATATTGTAAAAATATTTAGTTACATTTATAATATCAGTTTTGGAATTTTTTACTTAAAAAAACTCAATAATTAAAAAAAAAAGTATTTCCAAAAAAAATCATGTTACATTGAGCATTGAAAAAGGAACTTGTAGCAGTTTGGTCGTCGATAAATCGTTTGATATCCGTCAATATTTGGGTAGTTATGTACCACACTAGCTACAGTAGCCAGCCGCTAGAAACTAGTGGCTATCGCAGCAGCATCCGGCCGGCGCCAAGGTCGCGCGGATAGATAGCATCGCTGTCGGCTGCCGGGTACACTCGCGCACAAACTTTGTTAACATTAGAGTACTACCACGTGCACTTACAAACATAATTAAATGCGCCGTACGTTTTTAAATATTACGATGATTTTTACTGTATAAAAACTGTCCACAATCTTTCTTATAATCTATAATAAATAAGAAGTAACAAGAAGTTTTTATATACGTTTTTTCGTTATGTTCGCATCGCTTTTTCTATTTGTATGTGAGTGTACAATCTCTCGCAAACAATAAAATGGGTTAAACCCGACTAAGAAAACATTTGATACGACTTAACTAAAGATAAGATGTATGCAGTTTGTTGTTTAACTGTTTAGTCGGTTAATAGAAGGATTCCTAAATAAATAACGCTTGCTCCTAAATAATAAAGAAAAATGATAAGAACAGCATTAATTTACATTGAACCGATCTATTATTAATATTTATAAGAAGTAACATTTGAATTTACTTCTCTACCTTTTTTATTTACATAGTTGTAATTGGTAAATTGTTGATGAATTATAAAGTAAACTTTATTCAAAGATTATTACTCTGTTCTATTATAAAATTCACGAACTCTTGAGAGATTTTAATTCACGATCCATTTAAAAGTAGCTTCACAGTTCCAATTTTAGAAGGAGCCTTTGCTTGACCTAATACTCTATTTATTTTGCCGGTTGAAGTGGCTGCATTTATATGTACGTGTATTTTTAGTGCAATCTGATGAATAATCTGGTAATAGAGCTTAGAGCAGCTGGGCTCGGCAATTGTAGTAAATGAAAACGGCGCCACGCTCCGCCGCTGCGCCGCGCCGCACCGCGTGCGATACCATCGGATGCGTACTACGGGATGCGAATACGGCCGTTGAATTTAAAAACAGATTATCACGCTTAAATCATAAGTAGTAAAGCTTATATTCGCTTACTCCTTATGACCAGAGCTTATAGTAACAATTATGTGATATTTAATTTATATAATGCACTTTATGGGTAATAGGAATAGGATTCTATTTTCATTGATAAATATTATTCGTTATTCGTCAATCGAATTGTTAATGCAGTCTTGCTATTTTTATATTTTTTCAATAATATAATTAGAGTTATCGAAGCCGACTTGTAAATGATTTAAAAATCTTTGATTCAATTTAGATTTGGCGGGAACGGGAAAAGGCGCGCATTTGAATAATGGCGGCCAAGTATCGGCTGTCAGATCCATAAATTAGATAAATTATCACGACAGAATTATTTATTACTTAAATGTTATAAGTAGCGTTGTAATTTTTAGGTCATAAAGGGAGCAAAAATCGCAACATTCTGTATTTTATAGTAATATTAAATACTTATCTCTGTTTGTCTACAAACTCAAAGACTGCTACACACTTGTCATTTTTTTATTGATACCTTGGGATACAGTTAAATAAAA